AGAACATACTTAAGTGAATAAACCTACGCGAGTTATTTTGAAACTCTCGGTAGCGTAGAATGTCAAAAATTTAATACTTTCATCCTAAGTCAGCCTTCTACTGTATAATGATAATTTGACAGCTCTGTAATATTTTGATCAAAAAAGCCTTTTTATCCAAAATGAAATTGATATTTATGATCTAGATAAAAAGCGTCATCGGATCACATAGAATTTTAGAACAGAATTTTTAGAAAGTCTTTTCTACTGTGTTATTTTAGAATTCTGAAGTGCTTCGATTTTAACTATCTTTATTTTATAGGCTTGTGAAAGTTGTTTTGTAATTTAGTAGTCTTTTAATTCCTGAATTCATCTATATACACACATATGCGACTAAACCCTCTCCCATAATAGACGACGATCCCCTATTAGAAGATCACTGCCGATTATATGATGTGAAAGTCAAATAGAAGACCATGGTCTTCTAACCCTCAGAAGACCACTGGTCTTCTATTATGTTCGCCAAAAAAACTCGGAAACCCTATAGCAATAGGGCTGTTGAAAGCGTTAATGCGATGATAAAACGATGGAAATTTCTGAGTTAAACTATACAGAACAGCACCATACCTTACTTACGAGAATTGGTTTTGATAGTTTGCGCATTAATTAATTGTTACCAATCGCAGGCTGCTAAAAATTTAGCAGATTTCTCTAATGCAGGCGAACGAATGCTAGATATGTTACATAAAGAAAATAATTTGGAAAAACGGATCGATCGTATGGATTTGAGAAAACCTTCCAGATGGAAAGATACTGATGCTGATCACGTGAACTTTCCGCAACTGTCGGAAGATGATATTCGAGAGCTAGCTTTAGGTGAGTTTACATTACCTCGCTAGGTTTATTCACTTAAGTATGTTCTATTTGCTTCTGATTTATATATTAAGGTGTATTCCAAGTCAAACAAGCACGGTCTTACGTAGAAGAGAAGAAATTATCGAGTGATGATTATATATTTACAGTTCAGGTGCATCTATTGCTAAACAAAACTATCAGTATCAAAGAAAAGCATATTTGTATGGTACACAAAAAACGGTTCTTATAGAAAATACAAATATATTTTTCAAACTTACTTCATCATGTTTTGTAAACTAACTGGCGTCTTTTCGATTCCAGAGTTGTCCCACTGCCAAAGATATCATTCGTGTNGTACATGTATCATAGGACCAAGAACGGTTGGCTGTTGCAGTCATGTGGCTACTCTACTTTGGTATCTCGGCTACAATCGTCATACCACTGAAACTAAACTTAAAACATCAACAACCTGGATTACGTTCACGACAGTCAGAAATACTCAGACGATGATACAAGCTCAGACGAATCAGACTAACGATATGTTTTGCACAGTGAGAGTGACACTGATCATTCAGACATGTAATATCCGTCCATGCTTCTTAACGCAAACGTAGAAAGAAAGAAATAATTTCAACTTATTCTAACTTCAAATCAGCTGTTAAAAAGTTAAAAAAACGAATAAACGAATAAACGAAACTTTAGCAACGTATAAAACATGTGTCTCACATATCTTTCGCAAAAGTTATTAACGCAGAACACGTGTACACGTTTTCTTCGGTTCAAGCAACAAAGTACATGCTGCCCCACTTCGTTAAGCTTCTTATTAACATACATTGTAGAGCTTTTCAAGGCGCATCGAATGATTAGAGATCCTCTTTAGTTTCATAGAAAAAGGTGACAAAGAGTTCCCGTGGTATAGCCACGACCGATGGAAAAGTCTAGTATTAAATTTATAAAACATGCTGCCCCACTTCGTTAAGCTTCTTATTAACACATATTG